TACTCCGTTGACAACAATCCTCTGTTGCCTGTCACTCGGCCGCTGCCTTACCCATTGTGACGAGACCAATCTCGCCACATTGCATTGGAGAAGCCTGGTTGCTCGCCTGTTGCCTTTGGATTATGGCCCCATGTTAAAAGGCTTGATTTTCCCCTTCAAAGACATGAAAGCCGGGTCATTTGGTGCTTGCCCTGTTTGAGCGGTGATACCCCTGATAGCTATGCCATGGAGCCCATTCGTATAATGAAAGACTATGGGAAAGACTTTGGCTCCATGGCAATTGAACTGTATGTGTGTGCTCTGAGCACCATTCAGTAATAATGTGCGCTCAGATCTGAGCTATCTGGGGATATGTTGAATGTACCTATTTTGTGCAATGGCTGCACAGTTATATGTTTTTATGTGTTTTATTGTCTTTTGCTGCCATGTGTTCAATGGAGTTTTGCCTCTGTCTTGGAGATAATTGGATTACTTCCCAATTATCTCCAGGATAGAAGACTCTGTGGAACTGGTTTTGGGCAGAAAAGCTGCTTCCTGGTCACAAAGGACTACGATCTATCTTTTGAACCACTGGACCAATTTGTATGATTTTGACGTATGTTTGTATTTGGAGTATGCTGATTCTGAAAATGTAAGTTATGTGAATGTGATGCATACTTTTCAAGTTATGAATAATGTGGAAAAGTTGTATTTCTCTGCTTGTTATAATTACATTACCCATTGTGTAAGGTAATTGAATCACAGGCAGAGGGAAGGATTTTGTGTGGGAGTGTCTGAGTGTATTGTATGTGTTTATTGGTTGTGTTCCAAAACCCCGTGGGTGGTACTAGTGTATATAAGAACCCACAGCTCTGACTGTTCACTGCTTGACCCTCAAAACAGAGCCTTGTCTCATTCTTGGGAGGATTTATTGTATGCTGTTCCAGTTTGACTGCTAGGAGTGTAAACCTATTCGTATGGTTTTTCCTATTCGGATGTTTACAGCATTCATATGGTTTCCTGTTCGGCGGATTGGTGTTCTGCAGTAGCTGTGCCTGGGTCTCTGGAAGGGAAGATCTACTAAATGGTGGTTTAACCCTTTTATGCCTTGGGGTGCCGTTACACCCATTTACCAATATTGGAATCCAAACGTAAAGATTGCAGTTTATTGATAAGCCTTCTATGTGGAACAGTGTCAAAAGCCTTACTGAAATCTAGGTAAGCAATGTCTACTGCACCACCCTGATCTATAATTTTAGTTACCCAATCAAAAAATCAATAAGATTAGTTTGGCATGATCTCCCTGAAGTAAACCCATGTTGTCTCTGATCTTGAAATCCATGTGTTTTTAGATGTTCATCAATCCTATCCTTTAACATGGTTTCCATCAGTTTCCCCACTAGTGTAAGGCTCACTGGCCTATAGTTGCCAGACTCCTCCCAAGTCTTCCAGTAGGGCTTCATGTTTCAATCTTACAGTGTGCCAGAGAGTATGGATAGTCACTGGTGGCTAATTACCCTTAATAACTGGCCATTAGAAGTATGGTAACACAAGCAGAAATTTCCCTAACTGTATTAAGCAAGGATAACAATGCATATTTTGATTCAATTTTGGGGGAAGTTTAGGGAAGGAGTGGGGAGAGGCTTATTATACCATTGGCTTGGGTGAGTTGGCAGTAGTTATCTATTTGGATGGGGTATGTCCTCAGTCTTTCCTTTCCTTTATTATGGGGGTGTTGTGTGGTATAGAGATGGGCGTGCATTCTTCCTCTACTGTCTTTGTATATTAATCTCCCATCACACAGCACAGTGAATAGGAGAACCTGGTGGGATTGATGTCCAGAGCCTCTCAACCTAGCCTTGATTTCTAAGTGAGTCACTCAGAATATTTTCAGAGGGAAACTGCATTCATCTTTAACCCCTTAAGGACACATGACATGTGTGACATGTCATGATTTCCTTTTATTCCAGAAGTTTGGTCCTTAAGGGGTTAAAGAGGTTCTGGGTTTTTTATTCAATGTAATATTTGCTGTTGTATGTTTGCTGTGCACTAGACAGGCTGGTTTTGTTACTGTAGAGCACCATGGCAGACATAAAGCCAAGAGCAAATGATCATTCGGATCCTTCGGCATTGTCTCTAACACCTACCCTGAACCCCGTTAAAACACAGACACAGGTTTTACTTTTGGAAAAATATTAGTCCACAGCTTTATTAAATTATTATAAAATATAACAAAATAGGGTCATTCACAACAAATACATAACATATTTAAAACCAACCTCCCCCGATACATAAAGTACCCCTGGCAATGATCCCATATAATAACATTACATGACAATATAAATACCAAATAAAACATAGAACATTTCCAACTGATTAAACTATAGGGTGTGCCGAAACACCCCTACCCACCAGGTTTGGAGCCACCAACGAGCTTAAACCTACCAACCAACTGTAACAATGACTAATACACAATAAACCTAACCAGACCCACTTCCTAGTCCATCTACCCCCCAATTTAACCTGGCCATTCCCCGCCACAGCTCAGTACTTGACTCCCTAAAGCTCCTGAGCTAAAAAAGGAAACGGTTAATACCTTCCTGAAAGCCAAGGTTGACCAGCTCATACCCCACATCAGAATGCAGGGCCACCATCAGAAATTTTGGGGCTTCTAGCACTGGTCAAGGTCTGGGCCCCCTTGGGCCCGCCTCCAAGCCCGCCCCTCAAATCCCACCCACAGGAATACACACACATACATACAGACACATACATATATATTGACATACATACACACACAGACACATGCATACTGACATACATAATTACTGACAGACATACATACACACACATACATACTGAAATACACATACATACATACACATACATACATACACGTACATACATACATACATATACACATACATACATCTACACATGCATACATACACCCACGATCATACACACAGACAGACAGACATACATATACATATACAAACACATACTGACATACATACTGAAATACATGCACATACATAATGAAATACATACACATACAGATATACATATACACATACATACAGATACATACATACATAAACATATACATACACATACATACTGAAATACATGCACATACATAATGAAATACATACACATACAGATATACATATACACATACATACAGATACATACATACATAAACATATACATACACATACATACTGAAATACATGCACATACATAATGAAATACATACACATACAGATATACATATACACATACATACAGATACATACATACATAAACATATACATACACATACATACTGACATATATACATGACATGGAACGGCCCAACCGAATTGTCACATTATCCATTCCCAATTCAACGTCCGACCACTGTACGCCACCGATACCAGCCCTATTATTGCTGACCAACACACCAATCCTAAAAGCCCCAAAAAACACCTACACAAAAAAAAAAATGAATATAAAAGCACCTCATACAGAGGCGGGGACACCCCCGGTAGAACACCCACCAAACCCTGAGGACTCTGAAAGATACCGGCCTCTTAGTGTCCACCGACTTCTTACCTCTCCGAAAACCCTGCAGTGCTTGCCAAACCAGATATTGCTTAGTAAGGTCTAAGGTCAACTTAAACAGAAAAGTCAAAGCCACCATATTCTGATCAATCACCAACGGAGATGCCCGACATACAAACAAACCACACAAAAATCACAATAGGGCATCCAACCGCCCTTCAATTGACTGAGGAACCCCGGCACAACCCACTGTCTCGTCCCATGCATCCCAAGCCTTAACATAGGCAGCTCACATGCTGGGTGCCAGGGAATTCCTTAATAATCCACCAAGCAGGATGTGTTGAGCCTCCACATCTTGTCCGGACAGGCTTTGTCCACCTCCCAAGCCGCCAGCCGAAAACGCTGACATGTGTATGTTTTGTAAATTTGTGAAAATTAAAGAATAACAATTTAGAAAGGCTCCCAAATAATGTGTCAAATGCAGTAACAATTTTAACCATCAATACTGAACGTCAGGTGGCCAAATTTTCACAAGAAATATGAATGGTGTGAAAAGATTAATAGCTACGCGGCCTCTGGCAGAGGTAAAAGAGTTAAAAACTGAATTTATGGATTTTATTTAAGCATTTTGCTTCTCTTTGAATTGTGTGATTTCTAATATCTGATCGAATGTACATAAAATAGACTTGTCAACAGAGAAAATTCTACTCGGCTGAACCATTTTTCCTGAAAATACAAACATTTTGGGGACGTACGAGTTTCGTCCATGTTACGATGACTGCAGGTTTAAGGACAGCTGGGCATGTCCCCAGAATTTCTAGATCCCTGTGTGACAGTTACTGAGGAATCAGCAAGTGAAGGGATATGTTTTGAGGTGGAATAAAAGATGGACTGAAATCCATGTTCCAGAGTCTCAGTGATTGTTAATGCACGGAGAAATCTGATTGCTATTATTGAGTCAAGAAGGTTGTGTTGTCCCATTTTGTGGCATAATTGGGAACGGCCACAACTGTATTTTTGTTGTTGTTGCCTTTTTTGGATCAACAGCATAAAAGAATGTGTTTTAAGGTTGAACTTAATGGACTTTAGTCTATTTTCAACCTAAACAACTGTGTCATTGTATGAACTGAAAAAAAGATAGGAGTCTTGCGCAACTTGAATTTGCAGTGCACCCCTGATGCTACACCTTTAATTTCTGAAGGACAAAGTAAAACAAATGTTTTGGGCAACAGCCCTTTATCAATGCTGATGTTCTTAGCATCCTGGTCATTGTATGACTAGGATTGTCATATCAGATTTATTTAAGATACAAGGGAGACCAAGGGGCGTGGTTTTACTGCTGACCGTGATGGCCACCTAAAGTCAGAGCGCCGCACTAGAGTCTCACAAATCTGCCCTGTAACCACCTACAACCCATAAAAGAGACTCCCAGACCCACCACTACAACACCCCAGGCTGACCTCCGCAAACTACCATGGATGTCCAGCCACAAACCCGCCAAAAAGAGCCATAGAGACGCTACCTCAGTGGCAGACATGCTTACATCTCAGAGGCCTTCAGCAGGTGGCACGCCTGCAGAAGCCAGCCCCAGTGACATGGATCTCATGGGCCCAGCCCCCACCATGGGTGCTTCCTCGGAGCCATCCTCCAGTGCCATACTTCACTTTCTGGCAGAGGTGAAGGGATACCTGGAGTCAGAAATCATGTGCACGGCGGCGGAGGTGAAAACCGAGATAACTGCCATTGGAGCACGCATCACGGAGGTGGAACACCGCGTGGCCCGGATGGTTTCGGCCCAAAACAGTAATGCGACACTCACCAACACCCTGCAGCACAGAATCACTGACCTTGAGATAGAATTGGAAGATGTTTCCAACAGGTCAAGATGCAACAATCTGCGCATGCGCGGCCTACCTGAATCGGTGGAGGAGGCTGACGTGGAATCCACTCTTGTACAATGCTTTCGCAAAAGCCTGCCAGACATACTTGAACACGTATGGCTTGTAGATAGAGCCCACAGAGCCCCTAGGGCCAGAGGCCTGAAAAACAGCTAACTTGCATATTTAACTTATACATGTGCTTTTTCCAGTTTGTATACCTTCTACAACTGTTTGCTTTGAACCCCTTAATTCCTCCTATTCTCTCACTGTTCTGTCTACCCCCCTACCCCTTCTTGCCCATCACCCTCCCCACCCGCCCTAGCCCTCCTACCCCCGTTTCCTGGCATTGACGGAAGATCGACCCAGTGGGCACGACGACCGGGGTGGACAACACTGGTCGTCCCTGCAACTGGCAGCCGATTGACGAGCCATCTAGCATTGGGTAAGCCTAGACACCTCGCACCACAACGAGTCATGGACCTCAAACTGACCTCACTGGGCGTGAATAGACTAAACATACCTAATAAACACAGGCTACTGCTAAGAGAAATTAGGCGACACAAGCAGACATCACATTTATTGAAGAGAATCCAAGATACAACTCACAGACCATATATACACAAGGGCATATGTATCACGAGCTCTGTGTAAAAAAAATGGAGTAGAGATACTCATACACAAGAGATGCCCTATCCAGGTCACAGGTATACAAACTGACTTGGAAAGCCGGTACATGGTGCTGACTGGCACGCTCCACTCCAACACCTACCACCTCATCAATATCTACGCACCAAACACTCCCACCCCACGGTTATGGACAGACCTAGAAAACAATTGTTAATACTCTCCCGAGGGGGATACTGATATTAGGTGGGGACCTAAATGTGACACCGCGCCCAGCGTCAGACCTAGGAGGTGGACAACACCTCCCCCGCCCACAAAACAGAGGGGGACATGATAACCTTTTACACAAATTCATACTCAACACAGGCCTGCTGGACCCATGGCGAATTCAGCACCCAGCGGAATGGGATTACACATTTTACTCAGCCCCCCATACCACCTACTCACGTATTGACCTTTTCCTCACTAACCGACGGGGCATGCATTGGATCAAAACCTCTGCGATAAACCTTATTTCCTGGTCAGACCATGCAGACATAGAAATAACCATGAAAACCCCAGGTGCCCACACACCCTGGAAGTGGAGGATGAATTCCTCCCTTCTCAATATACCGCAGATACAGGAGAGTCTTAGACAAGGGATCACACACTACTTCCAGACCAACGACACTCCCGACAAATCCCCAACAACACTTTGGGCAGCCCACAAGTCAGTGATACGGGGACTGCTCATAAAACTGGCAACACAACATAAAAAGAAAAAGTATGAAAAACTAGCTGACCTACAAAAACAACTGCGTAAAACAGAAATGCAACACAAACAGACAGTGACCCAAACCACGACCAGAGACTTAAAGGAAATTAGACGACTGATCAGAGAATTAATTATAGACAATGTCAGTAAAGACGTACTCTGCACAAAAAGATTATTCTACGAAAAATCTAATAAGATGGACACACTTCTTGTGAGAGCCCTTAGACCCAAAGGAGCCACGTCCTCGATAATGGCCATAAGAAAAACAAAAGGGAGCAGTCCTTACCAACCCAAAAGACATCAATGACGAATTCACACAATACTTTACCAATATCTATGACCATTCCCCCACTCTGACGGGAGACAAAAATGAGTACATGATGGAATCTCGACATTCCTGGACAGGGCCCTACTCACGAGACTCACAGAAGACTTGACAACACCCCTGGGTGCACCCAGACTTAGACAAAGTTGTAACAGTTGTAGCCGGGCTCAAAAGGAACCAGGGTTCGACAGCGCCTATTACAAAGCCTTTAAGGATGACCTCACGCTACACTTGACAAAGATGTAAAAACGCTGGACTGAGGGGTAGGCACCTAATCAGGACCTCTTGACGGCAGATATAACCCTCATCCCCAAACCGGGCATGGACAGCACACAGAAAACCACCTATCATCCCATATCCCTCCTAAACTTCTACCTGAAAATCTTCGCTACACTTGACAAAGATGTACAAACGCTGGACTGAGGTGTAGGCACCTAATCAGGACCTCTTGACGGCAGATATAACCCTCATCCCCAAACTGGGCAGGGACAGCACACAGAAAACCAGCTATCATCCCATATCCCTCCTAAACTTCTACCTGAAAATCTTTGCTAAATTACTGGCTAACCGTCTAAACCCACTCTTCACCAAATACATACATGCGGATCAGGTGGGCTTTGTTCCTATGAGACAACTACTCGAAAACACAAGGAGAGAAGCGGATCTGGTGTGGTGGGCTGGGAGGACACGAATGCCTTCTCTGCTCCTTGCCTTACTCTGAGTAGTATGAGATAATTGTGACAGACCCATCTGTATGACTATTATTTGTGGATTCGTCTAGTTAGCCTTCCTTTTCGTGGAAATTGCTTGTTTCTACAGCCCATGCGTATGTTACCGAACAAATCTACCGAACGGACGGCCACCCAGAATAAGAAGTGTGCTGCTGGTTAACCTCTTGATCCCAATTAGAATGTTGTGGTTAACCGCAGACACTTCTTAATTATAACCGAATACAGGGTGGTCGTCGTTCGCATGTCGTCCACGAGGCAGCGGCCATTTTAAATCACATGAAAGACCAGCGGTTCTCAGCATTGATTCCATGGAACTAAAACGGACACTTCTTCTGCCGAATGGATGAGATAATAATACAGGGGCGGAGGAGGGGAATGGGTGAGATCATAAAACAGGGGAGGAGGAGGGGAATGGGTGAGATCATAAAACAGGGGAGGAGGAGGGGAATGGGTGAGATAATAATACAGGGCGGAAAATGAGAATGGGTGAGATAATAATACAGGGTGGAAGAGGAGAATGGGTGAGATAATAATACAGGGCGGAGGAGGTAAATGGGTGAGATAATAATGCAGGGCGGAGGAGCGAATGTGTGAGATAATAATACAGGGGCGTAGGAGGGGAATGGGTGAGATAATAATACAGGGTGAAGGAGGTAAATGGGTGAGATAATAATACAGGGCATAGGAGGGGAATGGGTGAGATAATAATACAGGGCATAGGAGGGGAATGGGTGAGATAATAATACAGGGGTGGAGGAGGGGAATGGGTGAAATAATAATACAGGGCGGAGGAGGGGAATGGGTGAGATCATAAAACAGGGGAGGAGGAGGGGAATGGTTGAGATAATAATACAGGGCGGAAGAGGAGAATGGGTGAGTTAATAATACAGGGCGGAGGAGCGAATGTGTGAGATAATAATACAGGGGCGTAGGAGGAGAATGGGTGAGATAATAATACAGTGGGTGGAGGAGGAGGGGAATGGGTGAGATAATAATACAGGGTGGAGGAGGTAAATGGGTGAGATAATAATACAGGGCGGAGGAGGGGAATGGGTGAGATAATAATAAAGGGGTTGAGGAGGGGGGATGTTGACTCTGGGGTAGGGAGATAAACGAGATTGAAAAGTTAGATAAAGTGATATTGTGTTTAACAGGGGGACATGGTAACCATGAAATGGGTGCATGTTCTGTGATTTGTACCTAGGAGGGGAGGGTAATCATGGATTAGGGATCGATCCTGATAAAACTGGGAATGAGAGAGAGGCAGAAATAATATTTAATTAATTTACAATGTAACACTGCTAACAATAGACATAACACACATTGTTTACTATAATTATAGTTGAGCATTTTTTTAAATATATACAAATTATATGCAGAGTATAGAATTAAACACAACACACATGCTATACAAACGTAATATGTGCAGTATGAATTCTGTGTTATTAAATACTTAGTTAGAAAAAGTGTAAAAGATTATTAAGTCCGATGAATTTAGATTTACCTAGAGTTAAATGAAAATGAATGAAATGAAAAAAATATAGAAGAAATGCTATAATAACAAATGGAAAATAAAATCCAGATTGAGTTGTAATTTTTTATTTGTTTGTAACTATTCCTCTTACAAACGGCATCATTCACTGATAGAGATTGATAATTTGTATAAGTTGATTAATATGAATAGAATCCTGCAATGATCGGGAGGGTTACAATAATTAATGGGAAATTCATGATTTAATGTGTTTATATTCTTGAATTAATTATTTCAGATGTAACATACTTTAACTTCCCATTATAATGTGGATATGATTTACATTTGTACAAAAGCCAGATGCAATTGAATTAATATTTTCAGTGTGTCATTCAGATCGGTTACAGTGTATTATTTCTGTATTAGAAAGAAATCTGTCTTGCAAGAGAAAATGTTCTTTATTAGAGATCGTTAGTTTGCCTAAAATCCTCTTTAAACTAAGGATTTGACATGTAAGGGTTAATAAGTGATAGAAACCAGATTTGGAATACAGAGGGGTTAAAATAAAAGTATCTATACTTGTGTTTGTTACACACTCTTAATTTTAGCTAGAATCCAATTTGTAAAATAGTTATATTAAGCTACATCTTTAATTATGTTTCTGTCATTAAAAATGGTAAAAGTTAACCCTGAATTTTAAGCATTAAACAGTAAAGGCTCCATGAATAGGCCCAGATTGGGGGACAGGGTTATGAAGTTTAATTAAGTGAATGGGTTTTTGGTCAATAACAGCTTTGAGAGACAGGCTGCCCAGAGTGATTGGTTGGAGAGCCAATGTATTAGTTTCCTGGGGGTGGTGGATAAGAACTCTACTTAAGCCAGGTCCTCTCATGGCATGTCATCACTTGCAATAAAATTTACCTTGATAATTTCCCCCGATCCCTCCCCATTTGTGTGCATGGTTAATTGCACATTGGTGTAGTTTCCCAAGAGAATTGGCTCTAGAGCAGGTTGCAGCCCTCAAGGAGAGGGCTAAGTAAAAAATACTAGCCTAGGGGGCTATAGTGCAAGGTCTCCTCGTGGGATGTGCCCAGAGGAATTATCTGGTTAATGGCATCACCGTGCTGGGATAATTTGCAGCTGATGGTTATTCATTATAATGTTGTTATTCCTCATAATATACTGTTGCGTTGATGCCTAGGCCTACTCTTGTGAGTGCTATCTATGGGTTTAAGTTTGTCTGTTTTACATTTCAAAGAATACTTTGTC